ATATTCACGGTGTTTTGTGACATAGTTACGTCTACGTATGTAGGCTGCCCCACTTGTGCCGCGCGCGCGCGCGTTGTCTCTTAACAACGTATCTCTTGGTTAATCTCGCGTCGATCTTTCCTCGACGAAAGTGTCGAAGTGCCTACGGTTTTTCGCGTGATTAACGATCGAGGGTAAAAACTGGGTTGAATATTAAGAGAGAAAAATGAAAGCGCGTTTGTCGTACAACAAGATCGTATAAGCAAGTCGTTCAAACGCTTGGACGATTGGATTTAGCATTTGCTTTGTGCAGCCGGCGTTGCGGAAGATCGCCGATTGCGATACACGCGCCGCGACGTTCGTTCCTCTCGAGATTCCTCCGTAGGATTGTGTCATCGTTAATTCAAATCGATCTGAAAATGCGATCGGCATTTCGAGAGGCGAACCGCGCGCGGCGCGTTTCGCTTTCCAAGGACGGCGATCGACGGTATGTCGAAATGATCAATGGATCGCGCGTGTCCGCGCTCCTAATGACGCGCCCGTACGCCGCTTCTGATTCACGCGACGAGGATCCGCTGGCCATCGATTGCGAATCGAATATGCATGCAAAACGTGCAAGCAAGCGCGATCCTGAATCTCTCGATATCGTCACGCCCACGTCCGTGAAAAGCACGAAGGGAACACCTCTTCGGGTCCCGTTGCAGAGAGCCGTGGGTCCGGTCCCGGCTCTTGATGTACCGTTAACCCTGCTCCTCCTCGCGATCTTAATCGGTCATCGTTCACCTAATCCGCTTCTCCCAATTAGGAGCGATCTGAGCGATCGTCGTGTCACGAGTTGTTGATTCGTTACGAAGAAAAGCCTCATTCTCCAGATGCTCCGCGAATTACGCTTCCGTTATGTGTTTTAAGGTGCTCCCGACAGATCGACATAGAGTTTCGCTACACTTTCGTAACGTGATAACTGTAATTCGAAGGGGAAGAAAAAAAATTCTTAACATTCTCGCAAATGGAATCCGTTCTTATAATTAGTTTAGTCTCGGGTCAATCCCATTAAAAGGAAAGGCGATGAATCTGGGACACCTTCTGCGTGCGCGATACCTTTCTATGAAACTATACTCTTTGATAAAAGATTTCACACGCGACGCTCGAGTGTCGAAACTTCAACCGTGGCAACGGAACAATGCCATTGTTCCGACAACGAAAATAGGCAATTTATTTCATTTGGATTAGCTCGAGCGAAATAAGATTAATTAACGTTTGCGCCGCGTCCCGGATTTCTCGAAGAATGCATAATTGCGATAATGATAAGAACAATCAATATCGATGCTAATGATTTATACACGATGCTAATGATTTATACACGCCATATTTCTCCGAGTTTTGGCGCATAATTCAATAAGCGGATAGAAAAATTATTTATTACATTATTTATTTATAATGAAACGGAGGATATAGAAGATGAGTTAGATTGTACATATTATCGAACGGTTCTTCAAGAATAACTCGTGCCAGGAGATAATTACCGTGAGCTATCGTGCACGATATTGCCGTATTTATCGAAAAAACGTAATAATACTTTTTACTAAATTGCCGATCCATCAAACTTTGTTAAAGATATATATATATAATCAGATCCAGTTCTAGTTTCTTTCTTCAAATAAAGTAATTACAGTTAATTGAAGTTGTTGCTCATCAAGTGCAAAAGTGAATAAAATATGATTTATCATAGAGATAAAAAAAATAGAAACACACACGTTTTCACACCTTTCAAATAATGTTAAAATCCTATGTTTTTTCCAGGATATATAAAAATTTCTATTCCTTCTTGTTTCTATTGTTTAAAACGTCTTGTTGTGGAGATCTTTTTCGGTTTCAAAGCCACTCTTTGTCAAATGATTTCTCGCAAAAAAAACGATAATATTTTAATTATCGATGGTTTTATAATAAATCTAAATTTCGCATACGGCAGATCGCTGAAACACCGTGGATCAGACATCGTCAGTCGCAGTTCTTCTTTCCGCCTTATTCGATATCGGTGATTTCCCTTTTCCACCGCTCTCCCTCGCTCGTTTCTGCCGCTCATTTTGTGGAGCAGCTTTAGCGAGCAAAAAGTCAAGCGGCACGCTCATCTAAGTGACCATCGCGCGCTGGTGCTTCTCCCGACCGCGATCTCCCAGAGGCCTTTCCGATTTTCCTTTGTCAGTTTCCCCGTCGCGATCCGGAC